ATATATATATATATTATCTTATCTGAAACAAAAAATTTTTAAGTAATAAAAGATTTTTAAGAAATTTCATCATTATTATTTTTTATGAAATTAAACCTCTTAAATGAAGAGCAAAGCATATATTATATATATTGGAAAATAAAAAAAAAAGCTAATTTTTCTGAGTAAAACCGATGTTGCAGCTGAGATAAGTTTTAATGCTTAAAGGCGTTTAACATAAATCGCAAATGAGTTTCCTCACGTTAATTAGCGATAGCTTGCTACGGAGTCATTCGCACTACCGTCTGCGCGAATAAATTTGACTATGTCAACCGTTCGATGTCGCTAAACTATACATCGAGAACGTAATTCGCAACGGAGATTTATGGCCAAATCATTTAACGTGCGACCGCAAACATTTGACGATAATTATTTATGCCTCCGAATACATTCCATCGTTACTCTCCTTAAATTTGCCGAAGCCGCTTTGCAGAGATGTCCAATCCGACGTGCAATTACCATGTTGCGCGTCCATGAGAAAACGATGAGCGAAAAGAGTATCTCTGCGCCAGACAATTATGAACAATTAATACCCTTTTACGTTTTGCCAATTGAAGAAGGAAAATATTGCGAACGCGTCAAATGTTGCACGTAACATTTCGATAGGAAAGAATTCATTCACAAACAGTAACGCCCAATTAGAACTCTCTCCTTTTTATAATCACAAAATAATTATTTACATTCGAATGTTAATCAGTAGTGAATCTCGCCAATTATTTTTCAATTTATCATTGAATTTTATTTGTCATTATTATTGATCACTTTTTTTTTTAATTAATATTTTTCAGAAATATTTTCAATCGCTAAGTAATCGGTAGCGAGGTAGAAGTAGGTTATAAGATTATTGCAGTTAATTAATGAGATAATAAATGATTTTGTGTAATCTGTGATATTATCGCACGCGATGTAGAGCGCATCTGATACGCATTGATATCATCAATCGGAAAAAAATTGGAATAAACCACGAAATGTGAATGATATTCGCAAAGTTAAATTATTCAATTATATTAATGTTATATTAATGACGGACAATCTGTTGGATCAAATAAGAATTTAATTATTAATGAAGTTTTTCCACTCATTTTCAAGGAAAATATTATTTTTAAATCGTTCGCGAATAAACGGAATACACGTGGATTTATTATCGTAGCGTTTATCAATGATCTCTATTGAGAATTCTATTATCGTTGCTTGATGTCATTAACGTGGATATCGCGAGATAAGTGCAATCCAGATAAATGAGCAAGTGTTAATAGGATATTCGTAAACCTCTTATCGATCTCGGTATCGTTTTCCGCGTTTCCAAAACAAACGTTCACAACGCTTGTGCAATCCTTTCTTTAGATAGTTACGATTAAAACAGCATTAAAATTAATGCTCGTTTCAATGTGTAATTTTAATCTCAGCTCAAGTAACTCTTCATTTTTTTCTAGTTTTAAGAATAAGAAAGAGGCCAAGATTAAAGTTAATCTTTAATCGTTATTGGTAAAAAACGAGCATTAATCTCTTAAGATTATACATGTCTCGGATGAATACAGTGTTACAATAATGATTAAAGCAGCATCTTTTCTACTAAATTGTGGGATAAAACGTGAAAACAAATATATAAGATAAAGGGGAAAAAAAGATAAAATTGCAAGGAAAAATGATATCCTACTTGCAGCGCGAATTGCGTCAATTTATCTCGAAGGAAGACAATGCACTTTTCCTCGTGCTTCATATTTTCGCTTCGTATTTTTCCACCTTCCACGGTTCGTCCGTTCCCTTCTCAGGCGTTTCTTCTTCGCGATAAGATGCTTATTAAGACGCGCTATTCCCGGCATGCGAGGTTCGGATTGGCCGAACGGTGCGTTAAATGAAGTTGCAATTAAGAGAGCTAAAAGCCACTCGGCCGACTATGCCTTCTCAAGGCCTCGGGCCTCGCCAGAGCGTACTTCCGCTTCTGATTAG